AGGACTTGCCTACTGTGTTCATCTTACTGTGCGCAGTCAGGCCTACCCTCAGCCCCCAGGTCTCACTGAGGGCTTCTCACCCCCACCCCATTGTGATGCTGCTGACGGTGGTGTCATCTGGACATGGAGAGCTAATTTAATGAGAAAGGGGTACCTCCTGGTTCTTGGGCTGCACACATACTATCACCCCGTGTACAGTTAAAGGCGAGGCTCTGAATGTTACCTCTTGGATGGTCTCGGACTCCAGAAGGACCATGTCATTTCAGTGCGTGTGTTTAATGGACTTCGTTTCAGTTGTAATATTTTGACTATGCAACAGATAACCCAATATACTTTTACAAAATATATTTATAGGTCTCCATCTAGCTCTTGGCCACACTGACTTAGCAAATGTAATTGTTCCGAATGGACTTTAAATGGCCTTCAACATTTCATTACAAAGCAATTACACCAGAGTCTTCCCCAGGGCTCAGCATGGTTTTCAAAAAGAAATTAAACAGGTGAGATCAACGGTTGTGAAATATCATCTACCTTCCCAAAGAGCGAAGCTTTAGAGTGGGTGTGAGGCTCCAGGCAATCAGAAACAGTTTATTTTCAAGGTAGCCGCACTGAGCATTCAGCACGCTACTCTGGCAAGTTTATTTTTCAAAAAGGAAATATTTACTTAATTTTACAAAGTTCTGAGGCAGTACCAAATTTGTTCAACATTCCCTGAGAGTAAGTAAATACATTCTTATAAATCTACACTTTGAAAAATATTGGGCTTTCTAAAGCAAACAAACTGCATACTCGTCTGGGTTTGGAAAGACCCTAATTCGTTAATTAACACCTACTGCGTGCTTGCTGCAAGTGGGCACTGCTCTAAGCACATTATTTGCATCCTGAAAACAATCCTAGCAGGTGGTTACAGACAGTGAAACTGAGGCACAGAGAGGCTGAGTCATATTTAAGGTCAAGCAGCCACTGATGGAAGCCAGGATTCAAACCCTGGCATCAGGTGCCCTGTCCATGATGGAAACTGCTGGTTGCACTGCCCACATCACAGTAAGGCTCCCGCGTGGGACTGTCACAGGCAGAGACGGCGGTGAGCCATTCGCACCCTCACAGGTGCAACTTTACAATATAGGACTCATGGGGCCTGAGGTCTATGCCTCCTAAGATGCTTTTCAGCAACCACACAGTACAGAGACCAGCTAGTGTTAACTAAACATGTGCAACAGGTTTCCCTGGGGGCAGGGTCCTTGCTGGCTGTCCCCTGACACCTGCCCCACTCCATGAAAACCTGAGGCAGTGCATCCGAGGGTCTTTCTGGGAAAATTTATCTTTCATTAGGTTGTTAAAGGAACACATGCTTTACTTAATTATAGAGCAACCTTTCTGGGTAAAGGTCTAGATAGTAACTACTTTAGATTTCGTGGACAGATGGTCTCATTTGGATGCCCGACCCAGCCTGGCTCTTGCAAAAGCTGCTGCTGGCAACAGAGAAAGGCGTGGCCGGGTTCCATAGCACTGTTTATGGATGCGAAATTCGAATTTTACAGGACTTACATCACAAAACGTTGCTGTGCCTGCGATTGTTTTCCTTTTTAAATGACTGAAAACCCAACAAAGAACAAAGCTGTCTCACCCGGGGACAAGAGCGAGCAGCTGGCCAGTTTGGCCCAGGAGATGCAGACTGCCCCGCCAGGCTCGAGCAGTGGCCTGTGGTCGCAGCAGCACCCGAACGAAAAACGTGACATAAATGGAGCCACTTTAAAATGAGCTGGAGCTGCCCTCCCAGGGGGCCCGCCATGCACGTCTCATGCCTCAGACTCTGGGATGTTAAAACAGGCAAAACCACCTTTCCCTGGGCCTAAAGCAACCTGTGTCCCTAAGAACTTTGCAAAGATTAGAAAGCAGACACGATGACTACAGGCTGACGACTGAACCCCGAGAAAGAAGACACCAACTAAGAAGGGCTCCTGGTGGCCAACTGGGCCCAAACTAAGCAGCAGAGCCCAGCAGCCGTTTCCACGCAGGCGCCTTTCGCACAGGGTGCACTTCAGCGGCCCGCCGCGCCCTGCCCCAG